AAACTTCTATGTAATGATTGTGTTTCTACAGGCAAACACACTTTATTATGTATTCTCTAACGTCCCTTCAAGAATTTGAAAATAGCTGTCTTCTCCTTCCCTAGGCTAACCATTTCCCTAGTTCAGGTATTCTTTGTATTACCTCATTTCTAATTGTTACCCCTCTATGATCAGTATTCTTAAATTTGAAATATTCCCTTCATAATATGGCACCTACTACTCAAAAGGAAGTCACCAGCTCAGGGGACGGTGGGACCCCTCCCTCCCTTAACTGTTACCATATTTCTACTAATGCACCTAAGAATGTTTTAACGTTTTTAATAGATACAATGCTACTAATTCCTAATCGAGTACCTTATTCAATCAAGCAGAACCTCATGGACCTTCTTATCTATCACTAGAACATCCTCCAGGCAGGTCTCTCAACCTGTGCTGGTTTGGATTTTTAGGGATAACCCTGCCAGCCTCCATGGATCACCTTACTTTTCTAAGTACTTACACAAACTTCATTTTATAGGGCCTCTCAAGCACATTTTTCTGTGGTATTTAGAGATCACACTTTTTCCCTTTTTCTCAAAATAAAGATACTTGCCCATCTGGGAATGGAGATTTTTACTCATTTAAGGTTCTTTTTTTTTTTTTTTTTTTATAACCTTCTGTTCTAATTTCGATTTCCATTTCCTCTCAGCAGTGTATGTTTTAACTTTTCCGAAAACAGAGCATTCCACTTAGTAGATGAGACAGAAGCAAAAAGTTGAGTAGCACGCCAAATTGGTTGGTTTAGAAAGAATCACCGAACATTAGAGCTAGAAGACACCCTAAAGATTCCAACTCTTAACTTGCACATGAGGAAAGAAAGCCCTCAAACTTACAGCATGGCCCAGGGTTACCAACATGAGCGATAGTTGGAACTAAAACCCAGATAACTAAATTCCAACTGCTATTTCCCCTTCTTTTTTTTTTTTTTTTTTTTTTTTTTTGAGACAGGGTTTCGCTCTTGTTGCCCAGGCTGGAATGTAATGTCACAATCTCAGCTCACTGCAACCTCTGCCTCCCGGGTTCAAGCAATTCTCCTGCCTCAGTCTCCCAAGTAGCTAGGATTACGGGCATGCACCACCACGCCTGGCTAATTTTGTATTTTTAGTTGAGACGGGATTTCTCCATGTTGGTCAGGCTGGTCTCGAACTCCCGACCTCAGGTGATCCTCTCGCCTGGGCCTCCCAAAGTGCTGGGATTACAGGCACGAGACACGGCGCCCAGCCTATTTCCCCTTCTTTTGCACATTGTAATTATTTCCAACTGTGTGGTCAGGATTAGATTTTTTAGAACTTTCCATCTCTATTAATTGTATCATATTCTAGAGTTCAGATTATGGAGCCACACATATCTTCTGTTTTAATTTGATTCCTTTCTTATGTTCTTTTTTTGTGTGTAGGGGGAAAAAGGTGTCTTCTTTTTAAAGGTTATTAAAAGTTAAAAGTTTTACAGTTTAATTTATAACAAATATTTATTAAGCATCTACTAAGTGCAAAGTTGAATATGATATTATCATTGCTGGTCAGGGAAAAAGAGAGAGAGTTGCTTTTTCTGCCATAGCCCTCCCACTTTTATTCCATGATTTCTGGCAGGTTACTTGTCCTTTCTAAAAGTAAAATAATTAACAGACAAATAAGGATAGTAATATCTTCCTGCTAGGATTACTATTATGAGGGAATAAGTTATACATTTTATGCAAAGCACCCAGCACCATGCCTGGCTCAAAGTAACATTCCATCTCTGTATTTATTCTTGTGTTTGTTTAACTTCTGTGTTTCTTTAACTTAATTATTCTAGTTAGTTTAACTTTTCACATTTTTAGGGTGGGTGACAGGTGCTAGAAAAAAAAGGGATGTGGTAAGTATTCAATTTTTAAGCAATTCCAAACCCTTTTATTGGTTTGATATGTAATGATACATGCATTGTAATGATGTGGTTATTAAATAAGTCCTCCATAATTTTCAATTCTCACCATTTTCCTTTTTTGTATCAGACTTTAGATTCTTTTTTTTTTTTTCTTGCTCTGTTGCCCAGGCTGGTGTGCAGTGGCACAATCATGGCTCACTGCAGCCTCAATCTCCCAGGCTCAGGCAATCCTCAAGCCTCAGCCACCTGAGTAGCTGGGTCTACAGGTGCATTGCACTGTGTCTGGCTAATTTTTGTATTTTTAATAGAGATGGGATTTCGCCATGTTGGCCAGGCTGGTCTCGAACTCTTGGGAAGTGATCCACCTGCCTCAGTCTGCCAAAGTGTTGAGATTACAGGCATGAACCACCATGCCTGGCCCAGAATTTAGATTTTTAAGAGTTATTTAAGAACTAAGACTTAAAAGTTAACTCCTGAAGTGAGAACTGCCTATTTATGAGCTCCATATTTGTGCTAGCACAGTTGACAGAAAAGATCTCCTATTCTCAGTGCCCTTCTTTTTCTTCTTTACACCCATCACACCCAATCCTGCCAGCAACTAACAGCATGAGGACAACATTCACTATACTACAGGGCAATGTAAGAGTGTCTTGAGAAAGCTCTGCCCTGTGAAATGGATTATGTCAATCTTATGATTAATTCATGTTGAACATGCTAGATTAAAGAGCATTTCATGCATATTATCTCATTTCATAGTATGGTAGCTTGTCTTCTCTTTATACTTCTCTCTTATTCTTTAGCCCATTCAGAGCTAGAGAAAACATTTCTACGTGTTCTATTTGTGGATATTTTTCATGGAGGATGGCAGGAGGTAGAGGTAGATAAGAGGCTGAACTTCAAGTATTACAGAAATTTGTTGACATGTGGAAAGTTCTCTGCAAGTATGTGCACTGTTTAGACCAAGTCTTTTTAACAAGGATAGCTTGTGTGGATTTGTAGATAATGAGCTGGTTACATTCTTTTACTTGAATTTTATTGAAGAGTTCAGCTGTAAACCTCACAGTTTAAAATGTGAAAACTAAGAAAAACAATACAAGTAGCCATGGAGAGTTCCTGTACTGATGAGGTCTCTTTGGGATTTGAGGAAAAGAAGTGAACAGAGAAGGAAATAATAAAGGAAAGGAAAGTGATTCCCCTAGGAGCTTTAGTGCTACACCTTTAAGAGCTAAGTACAGTCAAGGCCAAAGGATAAACTGATTGGCTACTGATATGTATTCACAGAGAAAACATACATTTTCCACATATCAAGGAATCCCTGTTTAGACATTAATGTATAAATATTACTGTAAATGCCCAAGACCCACCAAATGAGCTTAAGTGCAGTGTTAACAATAATTCAGTTTCTCAATAAACATCTTGAGTAGGGCTTTTATATTTTAGAAGATTAAAGTCAGTGCTATAAAAAATATCTTCCATTTATTCATCCATAAAGAAAATCATGACAAATAAGCATCAGATGTGATTTTAGCCCACATTTATTAGGGGAATTATTGACTCATGAAAGAAGAAAATTATGCAATTTCTATGATGATTCATTGTTTGGTGCTTTCAAGAACAAAGATGCCAGTTTTGATAAATGCAACATAAATCTCTGCTCAGGACCTAGGAAATTCAAGAGATGCTTATCAACGAATTATACGCACTCCTGAATCTAAGAACTCATTTCCAAATGTCAGCCACCAATCTGCAGATAGAAACGACCATTGCTTTATTCTGACCTGAAGTTAAACAAGTGACACTGTGAGGGTGAAAACGTTTTGGCCCCATTACTAATTTGGTGCACTATCTACTTCCGTAAACAAGGCTTTGGGAAGCATGGCTTCCTCCATAATTATTCCCAACCACGTCACTGATATAATCAACAGGTGCACCACCACGCTAGACTCCCCAGCCACGTCCTGTCTGCCTACAACCTGTAACCTACCAAGCAAAGGCAAATGAAAAACAAGCATATCTGTCCTCCTTTCATACCCCATTTTCACCATTATCTATTTCTAGTACTTTAAAAAGTCCCCACAAGGTGGCAGAATTGTAACACGTTGAGATTGATGAGCCTCTACTGAGACCGTGAATTTTTTTTTTATTATTATTCTTGTTTTAACACATTTGAGAGATTAGTGTGTCCAAAACAACACAGGCAAAGCATCATGTCCGTAGAGATGAGGATGCCTTCAAGTATACACTAGCTTAGAAAAGGATGATTCATCTTGCAATGACCATTCTTTAAAAGTTCCTTAAAATTACCTCATTAGATCTTTTCTCTTACCCTTTTGTCTTAGCTTAGATTTTAATGGCAAGCAGAGTTGAAAACATCCTTAATGACAAGATCATTTTATTTCTGAGCAAAGCACGGGGCAGTGTCTGTTCCATCTCACTTGTTCCCCCTTTAACATTCTAGAAGGAAAAAGGAAGCTTGAGCTGCTGAATGAGCAGCTCCACCCACTGTGGAACATGAGGCAGAAGGAAGAGAAGAGGAAGCAACACCGGGCAAACCAATAAACTGGTGCTGCCCTGATTCCATCGTGTTTTTTTCTTTTTGAGACAGGTTCTTGCTTTATTGTCCAGGCTGGAGTGCAGTGATGCAATCGTAATTCACTCTAACCTTGAACTCCTGGACTCAAGCAATTCTCCTGCCCTAGCCTCCCAAGTAGCTGGGGCTTTCAGCATGCAACAACATGCCTGGCTAATTTTTTATTTTTTTTAATTTTTGTTGTTGTTGTTGTTGTTCTTTTGGAGAGACAGAGCGGGGCAGGGGTCCTCACTTTGTTGCCCAGGCTGGTCTCAAACTACTAGCCTCAAGTGGTCTTCCTGCCTTGGCTTTCCAAATGCTGGGATTACAAACATGAGCCTCCATGCCCATCAGACTTGGTTTCAGTTTACCCCAGGAAAAGTGATGCAAGGAAGACATCCTTTAACCAAGCAAGGGGGAGATCTAGATTTGTACAAAACGCTGTCAAATTAGAGGGTGGGGAATTTTTGTCCCATTTAAATCCTGAGGTACACATGTATAAAAACCCTCTCACACCAGCACTTCTCAGTCCTTTTCCAACTACCAGTTTAATAAAGGAAGGTGATAGAAGTTTTATTAAAACAACATCCATCCTGTTGCAAATCAATGATAGTAAACATCACCTTGGATGTCCTTAAAAACAAAGGGCTATACACCATAATGGCTTTAAACTTTGAGGTTACATGTTACAGTGTCAGTTTGGTACTATTCCGTAACATTGGCTCATCTGAGAACACCATTTTATTAAGCACTGCTTCTGCCTGCTTCTCCAGGGCTGCCCGTTGCAGAAATGGAGGATCTAATCCAGGAGGTGCTGTTCTTCCTAAATTTCAATCGGGTGTGTCCTGCAATGACTCTTAAAAGAACTTTGACAAAGTCCTTGTCCTTTTCTGGTCAAAGGTTTTTTTCTAAAATGACTTGACCAGTGCCTTGTCCATCTAGAAAATCTGATAGTGTACGACGACACAACAACAAAACAAAAACAAACAAAAATCTGCTGCTTAGCTCGGGACCAGTTTTGGATACACCTGTCCAGTCTACCAGCAATCAAAAAGTCCCCCACAACATACAGCTGCTACCAGCAGTGTACAACTGCCACCTTGAAATTTGTTTTAATTTTAATAGAGAAGTTATATTAACATTTACATATAGGAATTAGACAAGTGACTGTAACCGCAATAACATGGACATAACCCACTGGTGGTTCTCTTTTGAGCTACATGTAATTGTTTCCTAATTCTTCAGCATCCATTCACGATTTTAATCCCTCAGTTTTCAGAGCTGAGGGTGTAAAGATGTTTCAGTGAAATTCTGTCCCCAGTGGACTCACAGCAGATAGGATTCTCTTAGCAATTTCTGAGGAAGACCGCAGGCTCCGCATGTTTGTCGAGATGGTCCTCCGTCCGGGAAGTATCGTGAGAGGTTGATAAAAGACCCCAATTCTATTAATAGGAGTATTCATGACTGAGATCTTAAGCTACCGAAGCGTCTCCATTCGGGCTCTTTTTGCAGGCAGCGTAATAAGAAAGGTGCCACATGCTGACTCTAAAAGAGGCCATTCAACTGTGCGAATGAATAGCATTTTCCTGTCCTGCCCACGGGGTTTTGCATAGCTGTGTGAATTTCGGCCAGTCTGCTCTTTATAACTGACCATCTCCTGGGAAGCAAGAAGGGAAATACTTCCATGAAGACCAATTTTATAGTGTTTCAAAACACTTAAAGCCTTTTACCTGCTGTGGCAGAGTGCTTCGTTTGACTAAGATCAAGAGAAAAGAGAACAAGGCTTTTCCTCATCAAGTAAAAATGTCCTGTGTGCTGATGAGTCATCTCTGAGGTACACTCTTTGGGAAGAACACTGTGCATCAAAAGCCTGCCTTGGGCTGCTTGAGAACCTCTGCTGAGTCAGCACTCACTGGGGCAGTGGCCCAGCCAGAGCTATTAAGTGCAGATCTTAAAAACAGATGTGTTGGTGAGAGTGTGCAGGTTATTTTCTCATGTACTGCGTGTTCTAAGAGCCTTCCTAAGCAGCCTGTATATCGAGCTATCTTGTGAAAATAGAGAACAGGGAAAGGAATTGTGGCTTTGGTAATTTAAGGAGCCTTGATTATTTATGGAGCTGTGTGTTATGGTAGCCAAATGTGATCTACTTAGCCAGGACCGCTGTATGCTTTGCAAGCCCCAGTGCAAAACTGAAAATGCAGGACCCCTCATTGAAAAATTATTAAGAATTTCAAGATGGTGACAGCAGAGCATTAAACCATGTGACGGCACAGCCCCGCACCTAGCTCTCCCCCTTCAGCACCCTGGGAAGCTGATCTTTGAACAGTGGCAGTTGAAATGGTGTATGGTGGGTTACATTTTTAAAATGTGCTGGGTTGCCTAGCAACTGGCAAGGGCCTGAATGGGCTGACGTGCAGGTTTAGATACACCATCTTGAAAGTCTAAATTCATGGAAACCTTCTAGTGGACTGATAATTTTCAAGAAAAAGTAATATAGTGGGAGATGGAAATGGGGAGGGCAAGAAAAAAACACATTTTTCTACTGTTATAACCCAAGCGGCTAGCTTGTCATTTTCACTGTTCGATCTTCTAAGAATAGAACTCTTCATACGTGAAGGAAAAATGAAAGGGAAATTCCAGTTTTCTCAGAAATATAAATAAATTTTTAGAGGATAATGAAACTATGAATTAATCAATACATATGTCTGAGCACATTCCTTTAGCAATTCAAGGGTGTGATATAAGAAAACTGATTCACACTCACTGAGCACTTGATAATAAGTACTTACTATGCAGTAGACTACAGAGATGAATAATGTACAGTTTTTATTCTTAAAGAATTACTCTAATATGTAAGAAACAATTAGACAGCATCATTACCTTTTTAAAGAACAGTCCATAATCTCTTGTCTTTCTCTCCTGGGTATTTTACAGGGTCCTTGTGCTGCAGAATCAGAACCAGCTCTTTTGATGGGGAGCAAGCAGTTCGGGCTTTCAAGAAACAGTCACATTGCAATTGCATTTGATGACACCAAAGTTAAAAACCAGTATGTATCATCCTGAGACACTGGGAAAGAACTGATAAATGAAGAACTGAGTATTCGTGTTTAATTAAGTTTAATCTACTACACTTATTAATTAATGAAGCTAGCTTTTCTTTTAATTTACTGAGTACAGTAGAGAATAGAATGTTATTTGAGCCTGAGGAGCCCAATGTAGGAAATCAGTAGTCCAGGACATTCCTCATCTCTGAGAAGGTTTTACTCTCCTTTATGAAAATGCAGCCATGATCTGATACCGCTCTATTTTAGCATGAGAATGCTCTTATTTTTCTATTTGACTTTGCATGCTTTTGTTTCACAGTCTCACAATTGAGTTGGAAGTAAGAACCGAAGCTGAATCTGGCTTGCTTTTTTACATGGCTCGCATCAATCATGCTGATTTTGCCACAGTTCAGCTGAGAAATGGATTGCCCTACTTCAGCTATGACTTGGGGAGTGGGGACACCAACACCATGATCCCCACCAAAATCAATGATGGCCAGTGGCACAAGGTAATAGTCCCCTGGATATTGGCAGTACCCTAAGGGAATTAGTGAGTGGCAGCCATCAGCATTCTCCTGGTGCCAGTATATTTTGCCAGGGCAGACACTGACTCTGGCAGAAGCTAAAAATAAAATGAGTGCCATATACAACTACTACAATCTTGGAAAATGTGCTCAGACCTGTGTAGGTTTACATTTGACCACTGACATGCTTCATCATGGTTCCATCACTGCTATATGGCTGTGGTTCTCAAACCTCTACCCATAAACTGAGACCAGGCGGCTGAAGACATTTCCACTGCTCTAAGTGAGAAACGTAGAACAACAGAGTGTGTTCATCATAAAGCTCGATGTATTCGATCTGAAGGAATAATATTTATTCTGAGATTATATTATAGCATTTTTATGGTGGCTAAAAGGCCTTTCTATTATGAAATAGTATTTGCCAAAAGCAAAAGTTGGCAACACTAAAATGGGTCCCAAGGCTCCCCACCTAACCACACACTGGTCTGTGAAAACCAGGAATCCAGGAATCTCTGGCTTATCGTGCTTAAAGGGCTCTAAGGTATCATTTCTACTGACAGTTATTTGGAACAATTTTAAAAACGTTGGCCTTACACCCAGAAACTGGTACTATTATGGGCACAGAAGGCTCGTTTGCCAGCTTACTGTCCTCTTTGGCATGACTGCAAATAGATAATATACTGCCTGATTAAAACAAAATCTCAACATTTGTCTCTGCACCTGCGATAGCCTATGAAGTAAAGCTTCCCTAGGTAGACCAATAAAATTTTTAATTTTCAGAGTACGATATTATTAGATGTTAGATTTGGTTAATGTTAACATATTTGGACTTGTCATATTCTAGAAAGTCAAAAAACCTTAAAAAACGCAAAGCCAACCAATTTGTTATCATGGAAATAAGAAAAAGAATCTTCATTTTTGCTGGGAGCTTATGACTAGCAAATATGGATCCAAATGAAGGAGCTCTCATTAAGATTTCTTCCATCTCTAGCTAATAGAATAATAAATATGACACTTGAGAAAAAGACATATCGTTGAACCACAATGAGGCTGGGATTAAGAAAGGGACTTAAATACTATAATTAGTCAAATTAAAAATGGATTTTATTTTTGATGGTTTTTTAAAATTACTTCCCAAACCAGAATAAATATATGTAAAATGAAGAGTTAAATTACTCTAATCCTGACCCAGACTAATTTTTAAACCATCATGGTACTTTAGCGTTTTACAGGCTTTCATGCTCCTTTACCTAAATTCAGACTCAAGATTTTTATACTCCAGCCAGTCTTTACACCCCTTATTTCATTCTGTCTCAGAAGATAATTCGCTCCACCACCCTAATTTCAGCCTCAGTCAGTTCTCTGTCTTCCTCCCTGACTTTGTACTAATCAGTTTCTGCAGAAAGAAGTGCAGCCTATTTGTGCCACTCTTTCTCTAATTGTACACAAGAAGGGCCTGTTAGGCAAAGGGACGTAGCGTATCTGAAATCGTGTTGGGAGCCCAGGCTCCTTGCTCAATCAAACTAAGGCACTTTTAAAACTGTACATGAATTTTGCTGCACTTAATTCATGAAAGTGCTATTAGTCTGCAGGCTTCCTTACAACATTCCTCCCTCTCAACACATATCCACACTTGGGAAACTCCTGAAGAGACTTCAACCTAAAACTGACCCAGGAAAATTCGGTATTCTTTTGGTGATAGTAGTCATGGAAAAGACAGAATTTGAGATATTCTGTAAAATGGGTTTAACTTTCCCATATATAATGGGCTTAGCACATACTAAGCACTGTGTACATTGTTTCAATTTTTCTTGGTAACATTGTTAAAGTCCTTATGTCTTATACTCTGCATATTTGAAATTTGTTCAGGATTGGCATTAATGACCTCTTTCTTTTTTGTAGATTAAGATAATGAGAAGTAAGCAAGAAGGAATTCTTTATGTAGATGGGGCCTCCAACAGAACCATTAGTCCCAGAAAAGCTGACATCCTGGATGTTGTGGGAATGCTGTATGTTGGTGGGTTACCCATCAACTACACTACCCGAAGAATTGGTCCAGTAAATATCTAATTTCTTCTTTATTACCTAAATATATGACTGATTCATTTATTGATATATTTTGATTTATTAGGTCACATGGGCCCATGAAAGCTGATAGGTGAGTAGGAAGTTATCTTTTCTGAAAAGGGACAGGGTTTTTTTTTTGTTTTTTTTTTTTTTTTGAGACGGAGTCTCGCTTTGTCACCCAGGCTGGAGTGCAGTGACGCGATCTTGGCTCACGCCCGGATAATTTTTTGTACTTTTAATAGAGATGGGGTTTCACTGTGTTAGCCAGGATGGTCTCCATCTCTTGACCTCATGATCCGCCTGCCTCGGCCTCCCAAAGTGCTGGGATTACAGGCGTGAGCCACCGTGCCTGGCGGACAGAAGGTTTTTTAGATTAGCTTATGAGAGACAATGCCACGGAACACTGAGTGGGGATTCTGGAGCCAGACTCTCTTGGTTTGAATACCTATTTAACTATTGACTAGCTGTGTGTTTTGGAGCAAGTTAATCTTTTTTAACAAAGAATTCTCTTTTGCAAAATAGGGTAATGATAATACTAAACACAAAGGATTGCATAAAGATTAAATGATTGAGTTGGGTGTGGTGGTTCACACCTGTAATCTCAGCACTTTGGGAGGCCAAGGCAGGCAGATCCCTTGAGACCAGGAGTTCAAGACCAGCCTGGCCAAAAACCCTGTCTCTACTAAAAATACAAAAAATTAGCCAGGTGTGGTGGTATGTGCCTGTAGTCCCAGCTAGTTCGGGGGCTGAGGCACGAGAATCACTTGAACCCGAGGGGGAGAGGTTGCAGTGAGCTGTAATAGCACCACTGCATTCCAGCCTGGGCGACACAGCAAGACCCTGTCTCAAAAAACAAATAAATAAATAAAAATAAAGTGATTGGAAGAGTAGCAGGCATATAAAAAGCACTGAAAGATGAAAATGATGGTATGTATTCATGGTGTTCAGGCATAGAGATTTAGCAAATATTGAGAGATGCAGTAGTTAGAGTACAGTTATCCAATTTTGGATTCAGAATTTAAAGCCCTCACAGTTTTGTAAATCAATATTCACCAAATAATTTTTTTATCAGACCATGTGTCCTAGTTTGCTTTGGAAAGTGTTACTCTGAGAGAAGCATAGGGGATTGATTCGTGCTTTTAGAGAACACACTAGATACAAATGTGATACATTTCTGTACTCAAATTAGAACACATGATAATGTAGATTTGCTCACTCATCAAAGACAATCACCCATTATAGTTGTAATTCTCAGCATTTGGCTTCTCTTGTGGATGATCAGTATTACTTTCCTTTCATAGCTATTGGATATGCTTTTTAGGTCTATCAAAAACAAAAGTCTCTGAAGTGACACTGGTAAAAGCAATTCACTTGAATTCTAAAAACAGATAAAATATAATGGACCAGAGTGTGATTGAGTTACTTCTAAATTCCTTGAATCCCCGATGTTTTATGCAAACTTTCAAGTTTTATGCATATTTGCATTTTCTTAGGGGAGGGTCTGCTGCTTTCATTAGATATTCAAAAGGAAGAAGCACTGAACCAAACCTAATTACCTTTTCAAATAGAAATTGAACATAGGCTATGACAAAATGTGTATATAGTAAGTTTAATAAACTATTAATAGAAACATAAAATCAGGAACATAAGAGACCAATTAAAACTTATGATACCCACATGGGGCCCATAGCTCTGTCAAACCAATGGAGACATAGTGTGCAGTATTTAGACTATGAGAACAGTCATATTCCAGGATAGATACATCTGAGTTGAGAAGCACAACACAGGATTTTCTGCATCCATGCCAGGAAGCCTGGTGGTAATAGAGAACCCAGGCAGCTTTGGGGGATGTCCTACCCTAAGACAACTGGCCAATAACCACACACATAGAGTACCCCGCAAATGATTGTATTCTACGTAAAGGCAAAGTTCTGCTAAAACTTGACATTTGTTTCTTCTGATCTGAACGTTTAGGTGACCTATAGCATTGACGGCTGCATCAGGAATCTCCACATGGCAGAGGCCCCTGCTGATCTGGAAGAGCCCACCTCCAGCTTCCATATCGGGACATGTTTTGCAAATGCTCAGAGGGGAACATATTTTGATGGAACAGGTTTTGCCAAAGCAGGTAAGGCTCTTTCATTTCCTTCCTGTTGATTATTAACTGGATACAAATACTAACTTCTTGCTAGTACCAAATAATAAAAGTTCCCAGAGTCCTAAACTAGTATCCTTTATTTAAGCCAAAAATAAACTTATGGAAGTAATTTCAAAAATGCTTCTTAAAAATTCATGTATCTGATCCTGATAAGAATTAATAGAAGAAATAAAGTAAAGGTCTATTTAGAGAATTTATTCCATCTCCTTCACTGGAGATTAAGAACAGCAAAATAAATAATTTTGCAAGAACACTCATATGTTTATACTATGTTGTTTTCCTACCTTCCAGTTTCTGGAGATATGTTTTTTTTCTTCTTTTCAATTCCCTGCAAGGCTGTATTTCATAATCTCCTCCCCTTCAACACATACCCATACACACAATGCACACCCGTGTCCGTTTCTTGTTGATGGTGACGATGGCTGGCATCATTTCTGGCTTTCTCCACTCCATTTCCAATGAACATTTCCAGTATGGTTTTATATCACTGGTCATGAAGGTACAGCTAGGAAAAAGAAATAGGAAATAACCTCTACATAATAATTTTTTAATCCTTTGATTTTTAATTTTTGTGGGTACACAGTGGCTGTATATATTTATGGGTTACCTGAGATATTTTGATATAGGCATGCAATGCATAATAATCATATCAGGGTAAATGGGGTATCCATCACCTCAAACATGTATTCTTTATGTTTCAAACAATCTGATTATACTCTTTTAGTTAATTTAAAATGTACAATTAATTTTTTTTAACTGTAGTTACACTTGTGCTAGGAAATACTAACTCTTATTCATTCAAACTATTTTGTATCATTAACCATCCCTACTCCTCCCTGCCACTAACCTTCCCAACCTCTGGTAACTATCCTTCTAATTTCTATCTCCATGAGTTCAATTGCTTTCATTTTTAGCTCCCACAGATAAGTGAGAACATGTGATGTTTGCCTTTGTGTGCCTGGCTTATTTTACTTAATATAATGACCTCGAGAATCACCCATGTTCTTGCAAATGACAGGATCTCATTCTTTTTTATGGCTTATTCATATCCATTATATATATGTACCACATTTTCTTTATCCATTCATCTGCTGATGGACACACAGGTGGCTTCCAAATCTTGGCTATTGTAAATAGTGCTGCAATAAACATAGGAGTGCAGATATCTCTTCGATATTCTTTTGAGTATATATCTAAGAGTGGAATTGATGGATCATATGGTAGCTCTATTTTTAGTGTTCTGAGGAACCTCCAAACTGTTCTCCATAGCAGTTGCACTAGTTTACATTCCCACCAACAGTGTACATCCTCGTCAGCATTTTCTCTACATCCTCGTCAGCATTTGTTATATTGCCTATCTTTTGGATAAAAGCCATTTTAACTTGGGTGAGATAATAGCTCATTGTAGTTTTGATTTGCATTTCTCTGATGATCAGTGATGCACTGATCATCATGTTGAGCATCATGTTGAGCATGATGATCTGATGATCAGTTGAGCACCTTTTCATATACCTGTTTGCCATCTGAATATCTTCTTTTGAGAAATGTGTATCCAAATCTTGTACCCATTTTTAAATAGGATTATTAGATTTTTTTTTCCCTGTAGAATTGTTTGAGTTCCTTTTATATTCTGGTTATTAATCACTTCTCAGATGGGTAGTTTGCAAATATGTTCTCCCATTCTGTGGGTTGTCACTTCACTTTGTTGATAGTTTCCTTTGCTGTGCAGAAGCTTTTTAACTTGATATGGTCCCATTTGTCTATTTTTGCTTTGGTTGCCTGTGCTTGTGGTGTTATTACTCAAGAAGTCTTTGCCCATTTCAATGTCAAATTTTGTGATGAGTTTCAGCTTCAGCTTCTGCAGTTAATGGATTGACTTGCCATCCTGCCTGGGCTCTTATAATTCTGGATCAGACCAAACCAGAAAATTACCCACTTCCTCTGTTTCTAATGGCCCTTGCCATCCCCTGAACACACAGTGTAATACAATTTACATAAGACTTGGGTGGTCAGAAGAGATCACTTCACTGGAAAACATACAATTCATCTTAACCTTTGACATCTTTGTTCTTAAATGTTTTTCCACCGACCCAGTCACTGGGACTTTGTATTGACCTCTTCATTCTTTCTGTCCTCAGCCGAACTTCCTCATGTCCTTCCTCTCTTCTCCTTACTTCTCCCTTTTGGTTTTATTTTGCAGAACAATTCAGCTTCTTCTACCCTTTTTTTTTATTATTATTTATTTACAGAATGGGTGTCACTATGTTTCCCAGGCACAACTGGCTAGCTTTTATTGTTAAAATCTGCTATGAACCCACCTTTGCCAATCCAAACCCATCGAGGTTCTCAGTAGAACAAAAGTCTTTCACATAACAGCTACCATCCTTCATTGGAGATAGCTGTGGCTACACATAGCATTTATTTCTTGACTAATAAATAGAAGACTTGGAGAAAATTCCCCTGAGTAGTTCCCTGATACTCAATTCAGTTTCCGTGGTCTAGACAGATCTTAACAGATCACTTTGTTCCTAAGAGGCATATCTTAAATACTTGCTCAAAGATTTAAAGAAATCAAAGAGTCAAATATGGAAAATCATAGAGAAAAGAATTAACTGGATGAACAAGATAAGTCTACTTATGTCCCAGAAACTTCCCATCAACATTGTATTTACAGTTTCTCTCTGTATTAATAAAATGTGTGGCAACTTTTGAACCCTTTCAGATGATTATGGCACCATTTAGTGTGCCCCACTAAAATTTTACTGAAAAATCACTGAAATGTTTTTCTTAACCCAACTGAGAGACTTCTAAGATAATAATACCTGACAGTGAGATTCTTTGAGTCAATCTCAGTGTGTATCCATTTATTCAAATAATACATATTAAACCGTCATGATGTGCCAGACACTTTAGTAAGCACAGGGATAAAATGGTGAAAAGTATAGACAATGCCCCTGATCTCATAGAACATACATTCCAGGAGGGAAGGCAGGCCAGAAAAGAAGCAATAACTATGGAGTGTGTTACAGGACAC